GGACACTTCCCCAGGGGAGATCTATGGGAAGTCTGGTTTGGTCTCTTTTGGCATCATGACCTGCCATATCACTTCTCTAGTCTGGCGTTGGGTTATTGTTCCAGCCTCATTGCTTGCTGTCAGTGATTCGTTTTGGCGGGGTCCCATCGCTTGGGTCCCAGAGACTGCTTAACCCATGGCATAGTCTTCCTTCACCGGCCCCACTCCAGGCATCTTCCTCTGAATTTTCGCAGCTCTTCCGTAGGCTACCAGACAGGCTGCAGGGGCTCGGGACACCCCCCCCCACAGGTAGATTTTTAAAAGAGAGCTGGTTTAGTGTCAAGGTTCCGACTGACGAACCCAACTAAGCAAACACCTTCGAGACTTTCCAATTTCTTAATGCAAAGCTTTATTGAGTATACCATATCGGCATGTATAAAAAATAAAACCAGCTTTGATTGGACCCCTCCCAAACCCCTATTGTAAAAGCATTAACCTGTTCTTCCTCCCTCTGGATCAGGTCACATTGCCCAATCAAGTTGGGAAATATTGATATCAGAGAGAATCTCTGGGTATAGCCAAATACCTGGCCATTGTCCTTGATTCCCATGGTCTGCTTTTTTAATCTTTGAAGTCTGCATTCCAAACCTCTCCCCTCCCTCTAAGCTTGTTGGCAAATTGAGAAGCAATGTCTGTAGCACCAGCAAGACTGGGCTTCAAAACTTGACATCTGCATTAACTTTATTGTACCATAAAAACCCACGCCATGCAAAGATGGCACTGTAGAAGTTTTATTTGCTATGAGACATTTTTCCTTTCCCAAGACCTCTTTAATTCCTCCACTTTCATTTTTGTCTCCATTAAAATCATTTTACCATTTTGCTGAATAAGTTGTCCTTTCATAAAAGCTTTAATTGCAATCCAAACTATGCTTATGTCCATGCCTTTATTTAATCTCAAAGTATTTCAAGTTCTCTGCAGTCCTCAATTATTTATTCTTTTTGTAGCAAAGTTTCATTCTGCCTTTACTCTTATATATTCAAGTCACTGAGTTATGATCTAAAAGAGGTTTTGGTAATATCTCCATTTTATTAGTAGATGTAACAAGTTTATTAGAAATCCAGAACACATCTATTTTTAAGAAGTATGTTTCCATATATTTATATGCTCCGTACATTGTCCTCCATTCTTTCTTTGAAGATAGCCAGATCTCTTTTACTTGTTGCAGACAAGATACAATTACTGATGCTGTAACATTCTTCCCTAATTCTTCAAACTTCCTTTTTAAAGACTGGCATAATTCCTTTTTTCTATTTGTTGAGTTTCTGATTCTTTAATCCCTTCTTCAAGTTTTGCTGTTTTTCTAATAGTAGGAATTTTTTTCTAATTTTTAACCCAGAAAAGAGAAATAAAGAATAAAAAAGAGTTTTTTTTCCTATGTCACTCTTTAGTCTCTTTTGGTACACCATATTACTCCAGTAACAAGATCTTTCTGTTTCTATTCTTTCTGCACTTATGTCTTTATTTAGCAAAGTCAGCCAATCATCCTTCTTAGCAACTTTAAATAATCCCCTTTTCCATGGAGTTGCATATTATTTATTTAATTTAAAATACTTTAAATAAGGCAATATTCCAAATTTAACTGTCTCTTTAGTCAATTTTTAACTTTTGTATTTCAAACTCCCAGCAAGCTTTTTGCTTTTAATTCTTTTAAAAGTCTTTATATTCTTAGTTTTCTTTAATTTTTCCCAAGGGTGAAAGGTATATTCACCCAGATGGCTTTGGGCACTCAGTCTCTTTACACTTTAAATTTTCTCCATCCAAAAATGTTTTAGAAAATGGATTGGACAAACCCTGTTTTTTAAACAAGCTTTGCTTGAAGCTATGAGCAAGCTGTTTACTCCTTGGACTTCTGGCACTCTTATCTATCTATAAGAGTCTCCTTTCCTCCAAGGAACTCCTCCCATATCTCAAGTGGGCAATTTCATAGCTTTCTCCTTGTCCAGAGAAGTTTCATTTTCTCAGACACACTGCCTGGCTCTCCAGTGGATAGAAAAATCCTAGTCCACATGTCTTTAACCAGACGTTCTGAATTGATTGCTCATGATTAAAGTATAAGCAATTAAGTTGCTTATGAGAACTTCTGATTAATTTGTGACTTGGTGCCCATCCACTTCTTTGTCTTGGCCCCATTTTCTTTTTGAAGCCCAATCTAGTATGCCTCTCAAGAGCATAGTTTTGGGAGCCCCACTCTCACTCAAGTAAGATTCTCCCATTGTTAACTAAAACATAGGTAATTATACCAATATAATCTTCCCAAGAAAAAGTGTGTTAGCATATTAACCAAACTGGGGCTTCCGGTGGTGACAGGCTGCACCGAATGGCGGCTTTTGTTAGCCGCCCATCTGGGAGCGCGTCAAAGCCTGAAGAGACAGCGTTCGATTGCTGTCTCTCGGCTCGGAACCTCGTCCCTCGGGCGAAGGGGGGGTGAGTTAGTCCGGATAGGGCTAGAGCTCCTTTTCACCCCGGTTTTTCTTTAATCGGGGTTGAGGGGTGAGAGCTCGCCCGGAGTCTGGACATTCTCCGCGCCCCATGATGCCTTCGCTCCTATTCATTTGGAGCGAAGCCAGATGCAGCTCCCACTTCTGCTATTGAAGATATTTGGATTTAAATTATAAGCAGACGGAACTAAACAGGAGGCTTGGAGTTATAATGGACTTTTCATGACTTTGACTCTGAGAATATATTAGCATCTTCTTTATTTTGTAGAGACTTAAAGTGAGAGGAAATGGCCGTGGAATTGCCGTTTCTTTGGAACAGTAAAGAAACGTTCGCATTTTACTTTCACTTTCTTCTGGTTACTAACTGGATAGAGATACATTGTTGCTCCTTTTGCTTTGGAAAGTTTTAGCTGCAACGAATTTGTAATGCTTATTTTTTTGGTGATATTTAAGACTCTTAAGGATTACTGAAGTGATATTTAAAGAAGCTTGGAGAATGGTTTTAAAATGGCTGCGGAACTGAGAAAGAAAGAGAGAAAGAATTTTTTTTACTTTTCTTCTGGTTGCTGAGTGGATGTATTGTAAAGATTTTTTTTAATCTACTGAAAATGCCTTTATCTTTAATTACAAATGACTTACAGGATGTTTTGATGCAAACAGTTAAGCAATATAGAGTGGAAGTTAAAGATCTCTGGGTTAAGAAATTGGAAGAATTATATGAAACTGTGGCATCTGTTCTTCAGAGGTTTATAGTTCCAGATTCTACAGAACAACGGGCGGATAAATTATGTGAAAAGGTTGAAGAAGATGTTATGGAAACAGCCCAAAATGATATGCTATATTGTAGAGATCTGGAAAATGATAAGTATGAAAAGCTGGGAAAGGAAGCTGTAACAGATCTGGATATGGTCCTGGTATACCTCCCTGCTGAAATTTTGAGAAAAAAGAGCTTATATAGAGTTAATTTACGGGTCGTGCATCAGAGAAAACCAGCTGGAGATGTTGCTGTTTGTGTTTTCAGAAGATCTTGTTATAGTGGAATCATACAGGCTTACTACTTGCAGAAATTTGGGACACGTTATAAAATCTAAAAGGCAGAAGACTCATCGACTCTGAAGGTTGATTCGTTATCAGCAATGTGAAAAAGAATGGAAGTAAGGACTGTTTATGAAAGAAGGGAGAAACAAAAAGACTTCAAAGCCGGGGGGAGATGTAAAATGGAAGAGCTGGGACAGACTAATAAGGAAAGCTTATATCTTTAAAACTTTGGACTTGCAATGCTTTTGAAGTCTTATATTTTAAAATTTTGGACTTGCAGAGTGAAGAGACTCAGGAGGATAAACTTATATGAACGTTTTGAAAGTTTTTTCATTTAAATTTTTTTTTTGTGATTTGGAAAACTTTGGATTTGCAATATTATGGTTTGAATTTGTTATAAGAAATTAGATGATTATTTTAAAGGATTTATATTTGTTTTAAGTTAAAGATTGTATTTAATGGGTTTAAGATACTCGAATGATTATAAGAGAAATGGTAAAGTTTAATTTTTAGATATTTGGATTTGGGGAAGATGGATAATTATATTTTGAGTTTTGGTGTTAAAATAGCGTATAATTTTTGTTTTCTTATTATTTGAGTTAAAGTCTCTTTTATATCTGATTGCTTTATGATGTGTGTTTAACCCTGTAATTAGTTCTGGGAAGTCGGGGGGGATTGCGGGTGGGGGAGGGAAGATGGGTGTATAAGATATAGATGTAGAAATGAATAAATTAGGAGTATTGTTATACGGAGAATAAAGAAGGTGCTCGGCTGGCACCCCTAAACCGTGTCCGGAAGGTAGGAGTGTTAGAGGGGAGGAGTGGTTGGGGGGAAGTAGGTAAGTAGTGGAAGGGAGAATGCGGGGAGGGGGTGCTGCCGAGCTGATGCTAGGCGGGCGCTCTTTAACTGTGTCCATGGGAAGGAGATGGAGGAGGGATGTGAAGGGAGGTAGTTGGAGAGGTGGAGAAGAAGGCGGGCGCGGGAAGGGGGTGGCAGACGAGCAATTATTGAATTAGTTATTGAATTAGTTATATAATGTATTGAATTAGTTATTGAATTAGTTATATAATGTATTGAATTAGTTATTGAATTAGTTATATAATGTATGTTTATAATTGTATTTGTATTGTTTAAAATTAATAAAACTTTTAAAAGAAAAAAAAATAAAAAAAAATTAAGAAAAAAAAGAAATAAAAAATAATAAAAAACAAGCATATTAACCAAACTAAACATAATACTAGCCAGAATATTAAATATACCGTGCTTCATTTCAGTAGATCAAGAAATTATTGCGTAATTTTTAAACTTGTATAATTTAAAAATATGCTAACCTTTTAGTTTTTACATTGTTTCCACTGAGTGTAGAAAGTGCATTTGTCTCTTAAGACAATTATTTTAATGATGCCAAGTAATTTGATTTGTGTGTTGATTTGGTCTGTGTGTGTATATATTTCATGAACTGACATGATTCTTGGTTTTTAGATTGTGTCCTATCTACTTGATCTCCCAGAAAAAGATGAAGAGGAGGTGGAGCGAGCACAAATCAACAGTTTTGACAGCCTTTGGGGAGAGACAGGTAATTTTTTTAACTAGAACATTCATATATCTTGGTACATAGTGGATTTGTTAAAAGAGATTGCTCTATGAAAATTCTTTGCTGTGCCAAAATTGCCTCCCTAATTTTTTTAATTTTTGGAGTATCACATGTAATTAGGAAATAAAGGTTTTCATATGTTTGCCAGTTAATTACACAGCTAAGATATTAATCAAATAGTATGTGTTCAAGATTCATAAGCATTATCCAATATATTGGAAAACTAATAGCCATAGGATTTGTACAGATATAGATATATTTATTAGAAATAATAAATATTCATTTTTCTGTTAGATTGATTATTCAATCAGTAATATTTCTCAAAACTTTTAAATATTTTGATGCAAAAGGATGTATTTCAATTTTTAGTCTTTTTCTGTAATCATTCAGTTATATGAAGAAAGATCAACTGTATTCTGGGTTATAAATCTTGCAGCTAACAACAAAAATTGGCCCATGTTTCTAACTCATAGTGTACAATACTAGTCACATAGACATACAAGTAATCCTCAAACTACAACTGTAAGGGAGCCCTCCTTTTAGATGCTGAAACTAAACTCTCTACCTCTGCCCTCTAATCTCAATTCTTTTTAACCACTTAGTTTGCTAAATTTACTGCATGTCTGGAAAGATGGTGACAAATTTTGTATGTTACATACCTTGAGTGACTGCCAGACTGAAGAATTCTGTAGAAGAAAGGAGGGAAGCAAGCAAAGATAAGCTTTCTGCAGCTTGTTTTTTCTTAAGGACTGAAGAAAAAGTTCAGCCTAAAAGAAAAAGCAACCCCACAAACATGCAGCAGACCACAGCAGATGTTGGATTCTAAAGAGGGTCAGACAGGCAGCAAAAAGCTTTCTGCAAGGAATTGTCAGAACACTGAAAATGGCAGCTGCTTCCAGCAGGCATGGGGCAGAATACCCAAGTGCTGCAGGAAATCTTGTTGGAGCTGGATGGGGAAAAGAGGCAGCAAATGATGCAGTGTCTCTGAGTCAGTTGTAAGGGCAAAGGACAATAGGTATGCTGCAGCCACCCTAAGCTTGAAGCAGGGCCATATGGCTGTTAAGTGACTAATGATATCTCAAGGTTTACCTGTACTACAAGAATGAAATGGAATAAACCCAAATATACTGACCTGATCTCAGACCAAATTAGAAAAATACATACATCAACTTGTGATTTATTCATATTACATATGATACATTCTTCAATCCATCATTCCTTCATTGCTGCCACCTCAATAAATTGTATTTTTCCAGGCTTCTTTTGTGGATGTATTATTTTATTTATTCATTCATTCATCACATTTCTATACTATCCATTTCACTTAAATGACTTGTTGGTTGATTGCATTTTCCAATTATTATTGATTCATTTGCATTCCTATCTGGCATAGTTAACTCTTACCAGTGGGAGTGCTTTTAAGCGACAGAGCTTCTTTTCTTCATTTTACCGTTAATGAGGTTAGGGATTTGCAGATAGGATATTTCTAGTTTCTTCATCTATTTTCTATTGAGTATAGGGATAGTTGATCAACCACTTTAAGCCTAGTTCATAGTTTATACCTACATGATTATAAGCTATGAATAACAGGGTGTGTTTTTATGTGGGTTTGTTTGTTTCAATGCTATGGTCCTGCACAAATGTACATAAGTTTATAAAAAATATTTTTTAAAAACTTGAAAAACATGAAATAGTCCAATTCTGAATTTCTTCCATAACTGTAGGATTATACTGTGGTATGTGCACTGAATATAAACACATTTTCATTTTTTTCTTTTGCTTTAGTATATAAAAAGAAAGGGGAAACAATTCAAACAATCAAAAGAAGAAAACAGCAGAAAAGGGGCAGAAAATATAATACAGTATATAATTCAGTGTATACTAAAGAAGCAAATTATGAAAGAACTATTGTATGATTGCATATATGTATAAAAGGGGTGGTTTGCATCATGACAGTGCAACTTTGTTTTTGTCATTTTGATTAAAAGCATCCAATCCTGCAGACACCACTGATAATTTTAAAAAAACCCACTTTTAAAATACAGCATTAAAGTTTGACTACCCGGAATAATTTATATATTACTTCACTCCATGCTAATTACAGTGTGAGAAAAAATTATTTGATCCTCTGCTGATTTTGTATGTTTGCCCACTGACAAAGAAATGATCGGTTGATAATTGTAATGGTAGGTTTATATTAACAGTGAGACAGAATAACAAGAAAAAAATCCTATAAAAAAATTATAAATTGATTTGCATTTCAATGAGTGAAATAAGTATTTGATCCCCTATCAATCAGCTAGATTTCTGGCTCCTATGTATTTTTTATACAGTTAACGAACTGAAATTAGGAGCACTCTCTTAAAGGGAGTGCTCCTAGTCTCAGCTTGTTACCTGTATAAAAGACACCTGCCCACAGAAGCAATCAATCAATCAGATTCCAAACTCTCCACCATGGCCAAGACCAAAGAGCTGTCCAAGGATGTCAGGGACAAAATTGTAGATCTACACAGGCTGGAATGGACTACAAGACTATCGCCAAGTAGCTTGGTGAGAAGATGACAGCAGTTCGCAAATGGAAGAAACACAAAATAACTGTCAATCTCCCTTGGTCTGGGGCTCCATGCAAGATCTCACTTCGTGGAATTTCAATGATCATGAGAACAGTGAGGAATCAGCCCAGAACTACACGGGAGGAACTTGTCAATGATCTCAGGCAGCTGGGACCATGGTCACCAAGAAAACAATTGGTAACACACTATCCCATGAAGGACTGAAATCCTGCAGTGCCCGCAAGGTCCCCCAGCTCAAGAAAGCACATGTACAGGCCCGTCTGAAGTTTGCTAATGCACATCTGAATGATTCAGAAGAGAACTTGATGAAAGTGTGGTGGTCAGATGAGACCAAATTTGAGCTCTTTGGCATCAACTCAACTCGCCGTGTTTGGAGGAGGAAGAATGCTGCCTATGACCCCAAGAACACCATCCCCACTGTCAAATATGGAGGTGGAAACATTATGCTTTGGGGGTGTTTTTCTACTAAGGGGACAAGACAACTTCACCGCATCAAAGGAATGATGGACGGGGCCATGTACCATCAAATCTTGGGTGAGAACCTCCTTCCCTCAGCCAGGGCATTGAAAATGGGTCGTGGATGGGTATTCCAGCATGGCAATGACCCAAAACACACAGCCAAGGCAACAAAGGAGTGGCTAGGTTTACCGCATTGAATTATATGTAAAAATAATAAAGGCAGGATATAAATAAAATAAATAAATAATAAAATGGCTGCTGAACTCTGGAGAAAACATGAGAAAGAAGAGGCTCAGAATAACTCAAGGCTGAGTTATTCTGAGGCTGACTATCTTGTCCTTAAAGAGCAGTGAAGTTTTTGAACAGACTTTGAAGACTTCCTTAATGTACTTGCAATAATAAAGTAGCATTCCTGGAATCCTTGCCATGATCTTGCTTACCTTGAAAGGGGGACAACAATATTCTTTTGAACTTTATACATACATTGTAGATGTGAAATTATCCAAATGTATTTTAATACTGATAGTAATTCAGAGTACTTGCTAATAATGAAGTCAAAAGTTGTTTTAATTGGATATGCTGATATTTCATTTTTATCAGTCCAAATTTCTCTTACAATAACTTAAAAATGTAATTCACCATAAGCTGATTGAAAATATTATACCTCTGTTGGATTATGAATTTTAAAAAGTTTTTAAACCAGGATTATTCCAAAGAATAAGTTTGTCATATCAATAGACATTAAAATGTTACTTCCATCTTAGCATTGCAGCCTTTAATGCTGCAAAAGTATTAGTCTTATTATTAAAAAAGGAATTAGGCCCCTGTTTAATATAAATAGACTCGCAAAATTGATATTAAGCCACAGAAATTGTACTGTACTTCCTAATATTTCCTCTTTTTCAGCACTTTAAAAATGCTACAGCCTTTTTACTTATCTAATATTTCCTATACATCTCCATCAAGGTCCTCTGATTTCAAGCTCACACCAACTATAATTTTTGACTGTGTTGCACTTCTCCAGAAAAAGCAGATTCTCAGTTTGAGGTCCTTTTAGACTCTGTTGCTTGAAGAACTGAAAACTGTGATGAGGAAGGCCTACCTACAGCTTTTATCTGATGAGTCGGTTGTTGCCTTTCCTGGAATGGGGAGCACTGAGAGCAATCATTCACACTTTTGTTGAGTTCAATTGGATTCTGAAATTTGTTGTGTGTGAGTCTACCCAGAAACTTCAGTGGTACACAATGCAGGAACATGTAGGTTATAGGTCAGAGACTTTACTGACAAATAACACCACTCCTTTAGGAAATGCAGTGGTTGCCAGTCTGTTTCCAAATATAATTTAAAGTTCTGGTTAAAATCAAAAAGTCTAAATGGCTCTGAACCCGGAAATGTTCAAGACCATCTATTCCAGGTAAAAATCTGCCCATCAGTTTCACATAAACCAAGAATCCCCACATATCAGAATAGTTGTTCTACTGCTCAGATGTGGGAAAATTAAATGAGGATTGGCAAGATTTATTACAACTGAGGTGGGTGTTATGTCTAGTATTTGATAATTAGGAGAGGGGGGCTTCTAGGTGGCTGAAGGTATTAGAGATAGAAGGAAGGGTAATGATAGGATGGACAGGGGTACTTATGGTAAGGGGAAGCTTAGCTATTCCAGGGAGAGAGACATTGAAAATTTGTTTTCATTGCCAAAAAGACTTATTTAATCATGTTTTCTTGGCCCTCTTCTGTCTCCCAGCTTTCTTTATCCCCCCTTCCCTCCCCCGACTGTTGAGTTCATTCCCTCTTTCTCTCTTTAGCTGGGTAAGTTGATTGTGTGACTGGCTATAAACTCTTGCTAGCTATGGTTGCATTACCAACAGCTAAATCCTCCAGATGTTTCTTGAGACTCTTCAGCTTAGGTTTCAAAATTTTCTTTACACTGCCTGCTTGACGCTCCAAAACTAGGGAGGCTTACAGGTAGTCCTTGACTTATGATCACAATTGCGACTAGAATCTTGATTGTGTGAAGCAGTCAGTAATCATTAGGTGAGATGACATCTAATAGTAGAACTATTATGTGTCCTATTGTAGTCTCTTGGAACTACCTGTCAATAAACGAAATTATCTTATTTTGCATTTTCTAAAATCCTGCATATACAACCAGTGTACATATACAGTACAGTATGTAATTATTTCTTCAAGTGTCAGAAATACGAGGTATGAAAAATACCTTCCAAATTAAACATACAAAACTCTGCCTTTTTAAAGCAGTGATACTCTATAATGATTGATGCCCCCTAGACTTGGAAGAGAACAAAATGATGGCATTCTTTCAAATTTTATACTTTTTCTCTCAGCTCTATGAATTTAGATTCAGATCTAGATACATTTTTTGGTTTGTTCCCAGTTTGTTTGCAATAGAAAAGAGATGTACAAAATTTTCCAAGATCATAGCAGGTTGTTCTGAAGTCATATTTCCAATTAGAAAGGAATAGGCTATTCTGATGTTAAAATATGCCCAGTGAAGTTGGACTGGGACATTTTGTGGTCAGCACATTTCAATCCTGACACGTTTGGTGTCCTGTAATATATATATTTAAGAAAAAGATTATTTGAATTTTGATCCATATATCCATATATAAATATAATATACATTTTAGTTTTCAAATATAGCCTGTCATGCAGCTAAGCTTGAAAGAAAATTCAGGAATTGTAGTAGCTCCTCAGCACCATCAGTTCAATTTGTCCTCCTTTTAAGAAACATTTTTAGCTCCCATGTGACATAAAATCACCATAAATAAATAAATACTCCTTTTGAGACAAGAAATTAAATTGCATATCAATAGTTTACTGCAGTAGGTTTTGCTTTATTGAAATTGTCCATCAATAATACTGCATTGAGTTGTCAATACTATGAGAATAGATGATGAAATTATCATGCAGTGTTCCTTTATGTCTCATAATTTTATATCCTAGAAACTATGATGTATTCTAATATACACATGAGAAACTTTTTTGTAATTATCTTACTCTTAAAACTATTTTTATGGATCAAATAGCATAATCATACTAGCTTTTAAGGATGTAGAAAAATAACTTTTTCTGTTTACTTCAACAAATGAGCTCTAATTCCAGTCCAGAAGTATTTTTTATGTACATATACAAACTATCAAATTACATAGAGTTCTACATGTAGCAGTACTGAAGAACAACTCTAATTATCAGCAGTGCTAAGGGATGGAAATTCTTGCAAAGGGATAAAACTAAATACATTTATTAAAGTAAGAAATATTACTCATTCTCCAGAAGTTGCCTTTAACAAGCTAGTCTTTGAAAAGTCTTGGAAACTATAGTCAGAAGCCATTCCATTTTCCTTTCTTTCTTTCTTTTCTCAATTTTGGGTTCTTCTTAAAGTAGATTGTGACTCTATAATTAGTTTTTTCTAATCAGTCTTTTATCTCTTCAGCTCTAACTGCTGCAGCAGGAAGAGGCAAGTTGGATGTTTGTCGTCTGCTTCTAGAGCAAGGAGCAGCTGTAGCCCAGCCCAACCGACGAGGGATTGTTCCTTTATTCAGTGCCGTTAGGCAAGGCCATTGGCAGGTAACAGAATAAGAGAGAGTGAAAAGCTGTTCCCTACTCTATTATAATACAGCTATACTGCTGTAATAAAATGTATACCCTGTACATTTTGGGGAGCACATTTGTTATTTTCATCAGCCAAAGTATGTGAGCCTCTTGTTAGTAAGAGTAACATGAGAAAACTGCAGGGACTTGTCCAGTTAGTCTCCAAGAATTATGTATGATTAAAAGGAGGGGGGGGGAATAAGTTTTTGGCATGTTGGAATACCCTGGGGAACCTGAGGCCATTTTCAATAAATTGGCATTCATTGCTATAGGATTTTTTAAAGGGCATAAGTAAATTCATTCATTTATTCAATCATTCATTCATTTTAAGGTGTAATGGGCTTTGTCTTCTTATTTGTTATTTGTTTACCACATTGCCATTTTTATTGAGCAGCTAGGATATTTCTCTTTCTTTTTAAAAAAAGGGTATTAAACATTTTAGAGAGAAACATTTTAGAGACATAAGCAAAAGAACAAAAAAACAAAACAAAACCTTCAGATAAAGTGAATTAAAAAGCACAGTGAGTAAACAGAATATGAAATCTTAGTATTATATACCTGTAGTATAGCATTAAATATAAATATTTGAATATATTATAATGCTTTAAGAAACTAAGGTTCTAAGCATAGATGAATCACCAAATAAAACCATAAACTATAGTAGCCTGAGTCTGAAAATCTGTTCTGATTTAAATATCCCATTAAATTGAAATATAGACATTACATTGAAAAATTCAATTTTTAGATATGGTACAAATCCATATATTGAACTGTAGTCCTGGAATGGTTTCTACTTTGTATTAAATTCCATAACATGTTTACTTTTAAGGTACAGTGTTATTTTGGAGGTAAAAGCATAGTCCTGTAACTTAGTAAATTATTCATTCAAAGAAAGAATCAGAAAATTTTCCAATAAGAAACACATAATACCTTTGAAACAGTTAACTTATATGGAGCTAATTGAGTATACACAGAGCAGGCATGTCAAACTCGCGACATCACGTGACGTCGCGCAACGTATCGGAGCTTTTTTGCCATTGCCGGCAATGGGGTGGGCGCGGCTCCGGTATGATGAAACCGGCCCATGGGCCGGCAGTTTGACACCCCTGACATAGAGGGAATATATGGTTTAGTAAAATTTAATAAAAATATCACAGGCTGAAATGGAAATTCAGCATTTACACATTTATATTCCATCCTTATATTACTTTACAAAATAGTTGTGTTACAACATTGCCATAAAATATGAAAAAAAAAATTGATTTGCTCGTTACATTTTCAATCATTTTAAAAAATGATTTTTCCATTTTAGCAACCAAAACTGAAGTGATGTATCAATGGTAAAACAATTCATTTTTCTCTAATATTCAGAGTAAATTTAATCTTCTTATACTAAAATTCCCATTATTGCATCTCTGTTATTACATTCAAATTCTGCATCCATTTAATCATGCAATCTTTTATTTGTTTGTATTATGAGTCTTGCCACCAATAATAACATGTTCAGAATTATATATTATGACGTTTTTTAATTAAGTCAAGTCTCTCAATATTCCCCCTTGTTTCAATAATTGTTTTATTGCTGTTCTACTTATTTGAAGATGCCGAAACCAGCCATATAAACTAGATTATTCTAAAACTAAACTTTTAAGAGATTTCATCATTCTCTTATTGATAATTCAAATTTACAGTCTAGTGAATTATTAAGAATTTTGTTAGTATTTGCCTCTTCATTGAAGTAAACATTTAAGAACAACTTTGGAGGTTTGAGAAAAACTGGACACTCTTTTCCTTTATTTTTCATAGAAATTCATGATCTTCTACGTATTGTTTATTTCTGGTTACACAAATATTTTAAGGTGATCCAGACCACATGGAAGTCTTGCCCCTTCTGTAGAAGCAGCCAGCTTCTATACAATTGGTTATGAAACACATGTTAAACAACTAGCATGTTTGAAATTCAAATCTGCTAATCCACCTCACTTTAATCTTGTAAAGTCCAAAATATAATCCTTGGTTTATTATTGGATCACTATAGGTAGTCCTTAGGCAATCCCAGCAGTCGCAATTGCTTTCATAAAGCAGGACCGTGCACATTAAGAGAGGATCTCACACGACCGTGATGTGGGAAGGCATTGAGTTAGTTATATATTCATTTTAATTGCTTCAAATCATTCAGTAATATATACTCCTGTTTTTCTGTGGCTCTTTTTCTTTCTGATGCCAGAGAGATTAACAAATATATCAAAAATACCTAACTAGCACCCAATACCATAAAGAATCATTAGAACTTAATTGATTTGAAAGAAATTACTTAGTTCCTAATAACACTTTTAATATCCTTATGTACTTATAGTGGTTCATGAAATCTCTACCTGTTGGATCTGGACTAGACATTCCTTGATTTAATCTTACAATTATTTGATTTTGATCTATATCAAAAATATAACTTGAGGCAATTGTTATTTTTCCAGATTCAATCTGAAAATATAATAATTTTTTCTTGTTCATCTTGGATTTATTTTTCTAAAGTCTAAGGTAAAATTTATATGTATATAACTGAGAGTATTAAAGGTAAACTGTTCCAACTAAAGCTGCCTTCTTCAACTGACTGATGGTGATTTTTTTCAGTGCTAATGGTGTTCAAGGGGTGTTACAGATGTTTTGAGATTGCACCCATGGAGCCTATTTGGTAGTATCTTCGCTTTATTTTGGCACAGTCATTCTATTTCTATTTGCAGATCTTTGTATTTTTCTTTTATTCTGCTGTCTCCAGGTACTGCAACAGCCTTTTTTGTTTTTCTTATCCATAGTTGTTAAATGTTGTCTGTTTTAATTCTAAAAATCCAGAGCACTGTAGCTTCTTCGTTTTCTATTACTTTATTATGGTCCTACCAGTTTTTGCTCAAAGGCAAGTTATATTTGTTGCAGATATTACAATGCACTATTGTTGCTACTTTGTTTTTACTTTACTGCTGTTTGTAGTCAGTCTGTAAAATCTTCTTGCAGCAGTTAACTAGTTGGTGCACTGTTTCTTCAGCTTGTGCTTGCTGCTCCATTTTAATAAAAGTAGTCACAAATGTAGCACATTTAGCGGGTCAAGACTCCTTTTCTACAAGCAGTCTTGCAGAGTCCTTTTGTCTGAAATGGTATAGAGCTTCCTCCCTGAGCAGTGGGTTGGACTAGGAGACCTCCAAGGTTCCTTCCAACTCTGTTATTCTGTTACTCTATTCTGCTCTATGCACTTTGCAGCTGACTGAGCTCTTGCATTAGGTGGGGGGTGGTAATTCCATGGCTTCATCTTCAGAGAGCGATGGCAACTGTTTGCGGATTACTGGCCTATCCAATCTCTGTGCCTGCTCAGATTGCAGTCCATCTGTTGATACTGGCGCTGGCTGCTTTTGTCTGTGGGCATTTCTAGAACTGGCTCTGGCTCCTTATCGGTTTTCTCCTCTCACTCCAACTAAGAGTTCACCATGATAAGCTGTGTATGTGGAAAATGTTGAGCAGTGATTCTATTTCAGATATTGTTTTTCCATTCAACTTCAGATCATCTATGTAAAGGGGGAGATCTTAGCAAATGTTTTTGGTGTTTGCGTTACTTATTCAGTATTGTTGATAGAGGAATCAATGCAATAATAAATAGTAGTGGTCATAGTGAATTTCCATGAAAGATGCCCTCATTGATATTAACCTCTCCTAATCTATCACCACTGACCAATAACTTTGTCTTTCATTGTGCCATTGATCTTTGCATAAAGCTTCTGATGTGTGTATTGACTAGGCACTTGATTATCCAATCATGTGAAAGGAAATCAAATGCCTTCACATAATGAATCCATGCTACATTCAAGTTGATCTTCCTTCTCTTGCAGTTTTCCAAAACCATCTTGCCAATTAGGAGCTGATCTTTTGCTCCTCTGCTGTTTGCGTGGTTTCCTTTCTGCTCGGGTAGCTAGATGCTGTTGGACTGCATCAGCTACCACATCAGTTAGCAATTTGAAAGTTGTTGGTAAGCAGGTGATTGGCCTGTAGTTGCCTAGTGCTGCCCCTTTTGTTGGATCTTTCATTATCAGGTAGGTTTTACCAGATGTTAACCAATCTTAAGTTTCACCTCTTAATTTAATAATTGTTTGGCGATGAGTGAGTGTAGACCAATCAGATGTTTCAACCCAAAACCATGCAGTTCATCTTCACCTGATGCTGACCAACTCTTGACCTTTCATGCTTTTTCTCCACCATTTCTGCTGTTATTACAAGTTCAGCTTCTTTTTTTTATTCTTATCCACCTCTTGTATCCAAACTGCATCCTTGTACTTTTTGGGATTATCCTATAGCTGCACCCAGAATTGCACTGTTTCTTCTTTGTCAAGTCCATTGCAGTCTCTCCATTGATGGATTGGCAGAAATGTTTCTGATTTGACTGACATTGGAGATTAGCTGAATTAAGGATAATTCCAAATGTCCAATCTGCAATTCTTAATTTCTTTATTCTGTTCTACTTGAGCTGATAATTTATCAAATGTATGATTAATATTCATCTTAAAAGAATTGAATTTCACTTCCATATTTTCATGTATTTCTTGAATTATATTAAAGAGGTTATTTTCTATTGTATGAAACCTATCTGCAAAAAATCTTAATAGACTAGGTAGAATAGAATATTTATTAATTTAGTTATTTGACTACATCAAAAGAGAAAAACTTATACAAATAGATACAAAGAAGATAATAGAACATATTCATAATAATTGATCACCCCTGCAGTTAATCACAATATTATCTAAATATTCTGTTATCTTCAAAATGGCCTTTGATATAAAGAATGTAATCTTGCTAGTAATGTGCAAGTTTGTTCCCTGCAAAAAATTACTAGATGGCTTTGAATATACTCACCTGTGCCCTTATGGCTGGAGTTGGTATTCATCTCCAGAGACATTTCATGTATCTATGTCACTATAGCTTCTACTGTGGGCAAGAACCCTTATGAAGAAATGGAGTAGCCTCATAGTCAATAGAAGAGTGGGAAAAGCAGTATTGGGATACTGTCTCAAAAACGACAGAATGATCTTGATTCAAATCCAGGGCAAACCATTCAGCATCAAGTAGTCCAAATCTATGCCACAACCACTGATTCTGAAGAAGCTGAAGTTACCTATTGTTTTATGGTTCTATGAAGACCTACATCACTTCTAGAACTAATACAAAAAAAAGATATAGAGAATTGGAATGCTAAAGTAGGAAGTCAAGAGATAACTGGAATAACAAGCAAATTTGGCCTTGGAATACAGAATGAAGCAGGGCAAACTTTTGTCAAGGGAACATGCTGGTCATAGCAAATATTCTTTTCAAAGAACCCAAGAGGTGACTCTACACATAGATATCACCAGATGGTCAATACCGAACTCAGATTGATTATGTGCTTTGCAGCCAAAGATGGAGAAGCTATCACCTGGGGATGACTAAGATTGAAACATTCAGACTTAAGTTGAAGAAAGTAGAAAAAACCACTAGGCCATTCAAGTATGACCTAACTTATATCCCATATGTATATATAGTGAAGGTAATGAGTATGTTTAAGGGATTAGATCTGGTAGTAGAGTGCCTGAAGAACTGTGGATGAAGATTGATATCATTATACAGAAGGCAGCAATTAAAACTATCCCAAAGAAAAAGAAATGTAAGAAATCATAATGGCTCTCTAATGAAATCTTACAAATAGCTGAGTAGAGAAGGACAGCTAAAGGCAAAGGAGAAAAGGAAAGATATACCTAACTGAATGCAAATTTCCAGAGAATAGCAAGGAGAGATAAAAAGGCCTTCTTAAATGAACAATGCAAAGAAATAGAGGAAGACAATAGAATGAAAAAGACCAGAGATTTCTTCAAGAAAATTGCAGCTGTCAAGGGAACCTTCCATGCAAAGTTAGACACAATAAAGAACAAAAATGGTAGTGACCTCACAGAAGCAGAAGAGATTAAGAAGGGGTGGAAAGAATACATAGAAGAACTATACAAGGAAGTTTTGGTAACCACAATGGATGTGATTGCTGACCTCAAGCTAGACACCCTGGAGCGTGAAATTAAATGGGCCTTGGGAAGCATTTCCAACAAAAAAGCTAGTATTCTAGCTGAGCTATTTAAAATCCTAAAAAATAATGCGGTTAAAGTGCTGCACTCAATATACCAGAAAATTTGGAAAACTCAACAATGGCCACAAGATTGGAAAAGCTCAGTTTACATTCCAGTCCCAAAGAACGGCAGTGCCAAAGAACATTCAAATTACCATACCAATTGTGCTCATTTCACATGCTAGCATGGTCTTGGTCAAAATCCTACAAGCTAGGCTTCAGCAGTATGTGAACCAAGAACTATCAGAAGTACAACCTGTGTTTCAAAGAAACAGAGGAACTAGAGATTAAATTTTCAGCATTCACTGGATTATGGAGACAGCAGAAAAACTTCTGCTTCATTGTCTACACTAAAGCCTTTGATTGTGTACAATAGATCACAACAAACTGTGGCAAATTCATAGAGGAATAGAAATACTAGACCACCTTATCCTGAGAAACCTGTATGCAAGTCAAGAAGCAACAGTTAGAATCAGACATGGAACAACTGATTGGTTCAAAATAGGGAAGAGAGTATGACAAGGCTGTATATTGCCACCCTGCTTATTTAACTTATATGCAAAGTACATCATTCAAAATTTTGGGCTGGATGAATCACAAGCTGGAATTAACATTGCCATGAGAAATATTAACCACCTCAGATATGCAGATAATATCATTCTAATTAAACTATGTATTCTGCGCATAGCCTTAGGCATACATTTGAGTATAATGCCTTGATCAAAGAGAGGAGGCTGGAATCCATGCTTAGGTCAATAAGTTTCTTCCAAAGCAAGTCCTTGTTTATTGAATCAAATATTGCACTGAGTCTGTAAAAATTGTAAACAGTTGGCTTCCTGTATATTTTTCTACTGGATGACATAAAATGAAGCTGTTATCAATAATGGAGTGACCAGACCCAAATCTAATTTGCTCTTTGGGTAGCAAGCTCTTTTCAATTACCAGCCTTAAACTTGTATAAAAGATATTTGGCTATGATATCAGTTAGATTAATTGGTTCATAATTTGAAGGATCACCCTTATCATCCTTTTTATAAATGGAGACCACAATAGAGAATTCACAACCAGTTGGAATTTGGCAGGAATTATTTACATGTGTAAATAAACCTACAAGTAAGGAAACCCACCAGTCAATGTGATATTTAAATAATGGAGGTGGGTAGAAGATCTTCCGCAGGAGCAGTAGATCATTTTGGGGTTCCTCTAATCCACAACTTGAGACAGTGAATAATTGGCTGTAATATTCCTCCCACATGTAAGCAGGTATAGGAATGTCCAAGGAGAACATACATTCCTGCAATATTCCTATGACTGAGTGCCAGAAAAACATAGAATTCTATGTTTACCGAAGAGAGGACAAATAGTGAGACTTCTTACACTTGATAGTTTTCTTATATTTTTGTCTAAATGGAAGTATGGTGATGTGATTATTATTTGGATGGATGGTTCCCTGCTAAACACATAGCTGTTCTTTTTCTCAGTTAAGTCAAACCAATGAGGGCCCTTTATCTGGGACCTTCTGGGGATGCCTTTTAAGTTAAGAATTTTCTTAATCCTACATTTTGGTTTTCATAGGTTGTACGTACAGGTCTGATATCTTTGTAAGGTGAAGTCATTGTGTTTACCAGAGTCAAGATTTGATATTCATATATTCAGTCAAAGCCCTCACATCCACTCTAGCACATTTTATCCTGTCCTGGTGGACCTCTAGATCAGGGGTCCCCAACCTCTGGGCCATGGCCAGGCCATGTGAGTGGCAGGCTGGCAGACAGGTGCGGACACTCAACTCGTATGAGCGGTGGGCCAGTGTGCATGTGTGTGCAAGGTGAGCTGCGCACATGTGCAAAGTGAGCTGTGCACATGTGCACACTGGCCTGCCTATTGTACAAATTGAGCTGCGCATGTGCGCCAGCCCGCTGCTGCTCTAGATGAGGTAAAACACATCTATCAATTGTGATGTGCAGTCTGGTTGTCTGCAGAATTTAACAGCAACTGATTTCTCTTATGTTAAAAAGTACATAATTGTGTTGTAGAAGCAGAAATTCTTTGAGATGAAAGAAAAGGACAGAAGAATCAAGCTGTATTTCCTCCATCTTTGATTCTTATTCCTACTCATTTTAGAAAAAACAATACTTTATCTTGTGCCCAGAATTTCTATTTATTAAATTAAAACAAAATTTAAAATGTTAAAAGTAGGAGATATTTAAAACAAAATATATAAAAGTCAGCTACTACTGTATGAGAAGAAAAATAACCATAAAGAAAGCACTCAATATTATTTTTAACAAACATCCAACAATTAATGCATACATAGTATTAACAATTGATTGCCATTCAAAATTTTCTCTATGTTGGAACTCTATTTTATAGTTGAAAAAATAATTAAACAAATTGGCAGATGTTTATTAGATCAAAGCAAACAAAATAGTAAGATCTGGAAATATACTGTGTATCACCAAATTAATAAAGTTTTTGAACGTACAATTACATTAGAAAAAAAAATACATCAAAACCATATTCATTTTAAATTTCTCAAAAAAATAATATTAAGAGTCTTTACTATGCTGATTTGACTCTTTTTCAACAGTCCACTTGACAAATAAAAACATTAGTTTTGTAATAAGCTGTTAAATAGTAAGAAAAACCTGGAAAAAAATAAGAAACATTGTAATTATATTTTTATAAATCCTTATGCTGAAGTTCCCTCATGTAGTTGAAGAAACAATATTAGAAAAAGTTATCCACTTGAAACTGGGGTACACTGGTTGAAGCAAATATATATTTAAATAAACAAAATAGTAATATTTGGAGACAAGTAAATCAAAATTAATAACATTATTAGGAATATGGATGATTTAAAAATAATTAGATTTATATTTATAATCCAGGCAAGTTTCCTTTTAATGTTTTTATGTAAAAGGAGAATCAAAAACAAAAATAGTAATCTTTACTGTATTGGTAAAATAACTGTTCTTTCAGTGATTATCCTTATAAGTAAAAGTTCTAATTCTACATATTAATAAAACAAATATGGTAAGGTGTTAAGCAGGGGAAAAAACTGCCAATCAATATAGAAAGTTAGTCGGTATGATAAGCTATCTTCTGAAATGTAGAGGAGCCATAAATCTAAAGAAAAGAATTTCGGTGGAGAAGGGTTGTGGGGTGGGATGTCAGGAGAATCCAGCCAATAAAAAGATATTTAAATTAAACCTGAAGATCTATCATAGGAATTTCTATATTCAGCAATATGCCACAATAATTACAAAAGCATTAAATATTTATAAATCTCTGGGCTCACTCTCTAGGAATAGCCCACACAAAAATTTGCTCTTCTGCTGAATTCTTGTACTTAACTACTTAGAATACATCCTTTTACAATTAGGAAGAAGCTTGGACTCTGTGCTGTAGATGCTGGTAGCTCTTAGTAACTGCCATCTTAAAATTTATTTTGAATTGTTTAGTCTTTTTGTGTTTCTGTTAAGGGGCATTTAATGTATTTTTGGGTCACAGAACAAAAGGTATCTTGTGAGAATGAGATGGGATATATCCCATAGATTTTTTGTTGTTACCATTGCCCTGCCTGGGATTCCTCTCCCCCCCAAAAAAAAGCTAATTGCAGCCAACAGCCATCAAAAGATTGTCATTCTTAGCAGAAGAATCCATGATACTTCTGACATTATATTTATGTAGATGGTTTGTACCCAGTGCATTCTTTATGTGTTTTCAGATTGTCGACCTCTTGCTCACCCATGGTGCAGATGTTAATATGGCAGATAAACAAGGTCGGACTCCTCTAATGATGGCAGCTTCAGAGGGGCATTTGGGCACTGTGGAGTTCTTATTGGGACAAGGTTAGTGTTGAAAAATTGTAAGATTAAGGCCAAATCTTCCAGAATGCGTACATCTTCTTTGATTCTGTTCTACAATATTCATGTGCAACAGAACAGAGATATGAGGCCAGAAGTGTTTATTTCAAGATCAATACATTTTCATTATAGTTGGGAACTGCCTTATTTTCAGCCAATATTTATATGTTTGGGAAATGTTTTGGATATTTTTTAAAACAACTTTTCAACAATTTATTTTAATTTACAACACATACGTGTGTTTTACAGAACCCCACCTACCCACTGCATCTATGTAGAAACCACTCTTATATTTATTTTTGTAATCACATACTACTCCAAATGTAGATCACCCTGAGAGAATTGTTATCCAGGGAGTTAGAGTATCAGTAATAATTTGTATCAAAAGTTTCTCTGTCCTACAGAGAAACAGAGTGGCTTACCAGTCTTAGATTTTACAAGAAAGGATGTAAAAACGCACTTTGTCTTATGTGGGATAAAGATCTCTCTCTATCCATTTTTGTTTCTTTCTAATTTATATGGCACCCATCTTAATCAGGTAACTCTGGGCAGCTTACTCCCTCCCCCCCCCCCAAAAAAAACCTGCACTATCTAATAGCTGCAAGGTAATATCTAATTAAAAATAGCTTAAGCACTTCACAGAACTGTTAACAGAATAAAAACAAAACAAACATACAAGATCAACTAATATTATGTCCCCTTGAGAAAAAGAGCCTCTATCTTGAAAGCCTTCCAGAAGCCCAACCAGACTTCCAGATCTCAGAGGGGAGGCAGTTCTATATGGGAGGTCCCATGATATAGAAGGCACACTTCCTGAATATAAGTGATATTATTTCAGAGAGTGGACCTGGAGCATGTTTGTTCTGAAAATTCTGATATAGAAAATGTACAACTTAGTATGGTGTAATTAAGGATGAGTTTAGAGAGAGGCTATTAGTTTCTATTCTTTTGCAGTATCTTTCTGAGATGTCTGACACTTAAGGAAAAGTTTGATAGGAAATAAATAATAGGATTTCAAGGGTAGTGGACAGAGGAAGGAAGTATGTTGAAAGATAGATTAGTAACCATAAGAACATGGGGAGATCACGTGTGCTGCTCCCCCACAGACACACACACACATTCTGGTCTGCTTATTTCCCCAAATCCTGGATGTTTGAATGATTTAATTGATAGGTGTCTAGAGGACATATGCCAGCCATTCTCTTAGGAGTAGTCCAAAATTCCAGAACAAACATGGGGTTCTCCCAATTAATGTGCAGCCCCACTCATAGATTTTTTGCTCAGGACAAGATGATAGTAATCTAATTATGGAGATGGCAGTATATAATTATTTTAAAATGGAGAAATAAATGGATGCCAAGACAAAGTGCATCCCCAAGCTTGAATTATGACCGAAAAGATAACCCATTCCTTCTAGTATGCTGTTAGCTGACCAGTGAACCTGGTCTGAATAACTGCAGACAATAAAGCAGATTACCTTAATGGAGAGAGGGAGGATCTATTATTAAGGCGACAAGGAAGTAAACATCATTCAAGCCTAGATGAGGGAGAACAGTATGAAAATGTCTTAGACAAATATGAATTCATTCAAAGATAAAAAAGGAAGGAGAAAGAGAAGCATATTCTGACTTGCAACATTCTGGGACTATAGCCATTCTTAATAAAAGTAGTTTTAGGCACACATGGCATCTTTTTCTTGTCTACAAACGAGACAGCAATAATTTCCAAGAATAGCTGAATTCTGGGAAGGGCCTCTTTTAAATGTGTAGGAAATGTCCTTTCCTAAAGCAAAGCATTGATAATCACCAGCCCATAGTATATACATACACAAACACACACTCCATCTACCCTCAAAAAACAGGAAAAATACTGTATGAATTCAAGCCTCAGGTAGCCAAGGAATACCAGAGACAACCCTGCTTCCTTGAACTCCACAGCAAAAATAAATTCCAGGTAATACAGCATGATGCTGTTCCAGTCATTATATGAACTCCACTCCCTCCAAGAGTCAAGAGATTGGTAATTTGAGTTACTTTTATCAGCAAAGACCTGTGCCAACAAAAGCTACACATGATTTCTCCTCAGAGAGGGTAGCTAAGACCATTGAACCAGCAGTCCATTGATGCAATAAGAGGAAAAATGTACTAAATCTGTTTTATTGCCATGATATAGACTCAGATTTGAACTTGCCCCATTTTCATTTCTCATGTTTCTACACCAGCATTCCAAGTGTTGCTTTTGTTGTTTCATCTTTCTAAAGTCTGCAATATGCAAAGCAGCCATTCAAATCAGTATACAGAGGGAAGGCACTCAGAAGCAATTTCTCATAAGTTCAGGTTGTTTAGAAAATACAATTATGTATAAAATCATTGAGACTCTCACCAGAATCATTTCCAGAATAGAATTCATAAGGTACCTGAGATCGGCCTTTATAATTTATCAGTTTACCTCACAAAGGTCATGAGCAGCAGTCAATCTCATCAGCCTTGAGTCATTTCAATTAAGTGGCCCTATAAATTAAATAAACTATTATTATCAGGATTGGGAAATTATATAATCATGGCACAGAGCTAGCTATAATGTTATCCATATCTAGATGATAATATATTGGCTCCAAGGCACAAATAAGGTCTAAGTATAATCATTTAAGTATGTCTTGCCTGGAGTTTCCTGGAACAAATCCATATAATCATGGTGGCCATGAAATCTTTAGTTCTTCCCAACCCACACTCTACAGCATAAAGGTTGAAGTCATCAATGCCAGCAAGAGGGGCATTTCAATACACACTGAGTGACCAATTGAGCAACCTGGGCAAAAATTCTTTTGGGCAACAAGGAAGTCAATAGATGAATTGGATCCCAGATTTCTGCGTCTGTCCTGATAATCTCATAAGTAGAAAAAAATATTAGGCTAAGCAAATATGCAATTATACATACATCAACATTTTCTTGTGGGGAGCAAGATGACATTATATGCTGGAATAAAGGAGAGTTGGCAAGATTTGGGATGCAGAGAAAGACTGGTGAACCATAAGGGATTATGCAACCTTAGCTGCTAAAGGCTTCCTTGTTCATGAGTTGCCCAGTTGACGCTCTTATTCAGAGGGGGAAAGTTATCATTTGTGGGACAATATGTTTTGTATCTCTTTTTTGATCTCTTAGTCCCTATGTCTTGTTAAATGATTATATTCTTTTCTTTTACCCAGCAGGCTCATTTTGTTTTTTGTTTTAATGCAAGAATGACTTAACTAAGATGTTTCTGGAAAATTTAAGATTAGATAGGAGGACTTATCAAACAGATTAATTTGTCTCATTCTTAAGGAATGAACAAAAATTCAGAAGAATGTTACCAGAATTTTGTTCCAATATGCAGTAAAAAAGTTGAGAAGCCATTTTCTGACCATAAAATACTCTACAAGCCACTCCAAGGGCAACAAGCTATTAGGTGACATTTTTTTCTCTCTAAAGTATCTATCAAGCTAATATAAGCAGTATTTCTTGTAAATGAGATACATGCATTCCTAAATCATTATAAGACCAAATCTTTATGAAAGATTGCTACAAGAATGAAGTGTAGATCATTTTAGCTTGTACAAGCACATAAGCAGGTTTGCTTTTTTCCTTCAGGCTCCTCAATTTCCTTAATGGACAAAGAAGGACTAACTGCTCTTAGCTGGGCTTGCTTAAAAGGCCATCTTTCAGTAGTGCGAGCTTTGGTAGAGAGTGGAGCTGCTACAGATCACGCTGACAAAAATGGACGTACTCCATTGGATTTAGCAGCTTTTTATGGAGATGCAGAGGTGGTAAGTTTTTATTATTTTTATTGTTTGCTTATTTATTTATTATTCTATAAGAGAAAATAATTTATTTCATTTCTTTATCACAGCCACTGATTCATATGACATACAGACACTGCCAAAATATTGGTACCTCTCCACTTTCCCTCAAATAATCTCAGTTTGCAGTAAAATAAACTGAAACTGGAAGTAAATGGCATCCACCGTTCTTCATTCCGTAATTCATAGTATGAAAAAAATGGACTATGTAATCCAATACTTTCAGCTGCATCTTATAAAATGTAATGGGAATTGAAACCTATGATACCTTTGTCAATCTTTCATATTTGATTTAATATATAGAGTTAATTGTGTTTCTAACTGTCTTCTCAGACCACAGAAATTGTCAGTATTGAAAGCTTATATGCCCTTTAAATGTTATTGTCAGCAATAAGCCTTGGTGATTCCTGCAATACTTCCAAGTATATTTTAAATGCCAGCTTTCTACACCATTTGGGATTTTTGTGCAACAGGTTGGCCAGTCTGACAAATTGGTCTGGCTTGTCATACTCCTCCAATTGATCTCAAAAGAGGCATCAATCCTAGTGATATAGTTAAACCTATATTTAGAAATATAGCTTACAATACAAAATGATAAAAGCAGCATACCATGTTTCCCTAAAAGTAATACCTACCCCCAAAATAAGCCCTAGTTTTGGGGCGAGATGGATGCCTAAAAATCAAGCTAGGGTGGGGAAGTGGAGCTTACCATTGCAGCCAAGCCTCCCATGGATGACACTTGCCTCCCTGGTCCACTTCTTCTGCGGCCGAAGAAGCAGCTTCATTTTGCAGCTGAGAATGGAGCTCCAGCTTGCATTTCGCAGAGACCTTTCCAGAAGGCATCTGCAGCCAAGTACCAAGCTATGGATTGAATCCGTAGCTCGGTTCTCGGCTGCAGAGGCCTTCTGGAAAGGCCTCTGACTGCGAAATGCAGGCCAGAGCTCCATTCTCAGCTGCAGAATGAAGCCACTCCTTCAGCTACAGAAGAAGTAGGATGGCTGGGGGGGAGGGTATTGGTGCTGCCATCGCGAGGTGAGTAGAAAAGATACCCCCTGAAAATTAGACCTCTTTTGGAGGCAAAAATAAATAAATAAGCCCGGGTCTTATTTTGGGGAAAACATGGTATAGGGCTTTAAAGACGATAACCAGCATTCTATGAATCTGAAACCTCAGCTTAATCACATAATAATATTGATTGTTTCAGAATGATGCTGACTCAGTTGTTTGTTTATTTATAGGTTCAGTTCCTGGTGGATCATGGTGCCATGATTGAGCATGTGGATTACAGTGGGATGCGCCCCCTTGATAGGGCAGTGGGCTGTCGCAATACCTCTGTTGTAGTTACTCTCTTGAAGAAAGGAGCCAAGATAGGTAGGGAGGACACAAAGGGAATAATGTCTTTCATATCTTTGTTGGATATAAAAACACAGTACAGTATACTCCTGTGATATAGGCATACACAGTTTCAATATGCAAATGCTCAGCATTTCCATATGTGATGATTGCAGTGGTGATTTATTATTATTTATTATTTATTTAGCTCTTACAAACTAAAGAAAGCAATTCATAATTGGTTCCTCATCTAAAAATGAAAATCTAAATAGCTGTGTTATGCTGGTATGCTGCCTACCTTGCTCTGTAGATGTTTCTATATTTGAGCATTATCTGCATATGCTTTTGTCTCTTAATTCTTGCATCACAAAATTTGCTGCTGCTTTGCTGCCTGCCTCTCACTGCTGCTTTTTCCTTTTTTAAAATTCACCTTCATCCATTTTTTCTCCCTCTCCTACAACTTTGTTTTTTCCTCCTATCTTCCTCCTCCCCACCTTCCCCCAAAGGCTGTCAGACACTACCAAGTCGCCCACGAGGTATATTTTACTGCTGTCATCATCAAACTTGGTGGTCTAACAGCTCTGCCTTTTCTCTTCTACAGTTTTGCCTGCCTGTGTTCTATTCCCCACTTTTAATTTTTCTCATCTTCAAATAATTATTTTTTCTTACTGCTGCAGAGAATAACTTGAACTCAAGACTAAATTCACTTATAAAATGCTGCAAAATATGTAAAACACTACAAATTTGTTTTCATTGAATCTTCTGAAATGATTTTCTATGATGATAAGAGCTTCAGAAGCTGATAATTTACTGAGTGAAAAACTCATTCTGAAATGATTTGTTTGTTTATTATTTTTGTTTTTGAAATCCAACATAAGACAGTGCAGAACTGGACTTTTGAACTGCATCAGGAGAATGCACTTTCACAGATAAGAATTTAGTTTGAATTGATTTTTTTCAGAAACACTGAGATTTTAAAAGATTTTCACATGGTGACCACAAATATTGACGCAGAAAATTTCAGGTATATCTGTATTAGATTTTGTATTGCACATCAATTAATTTATGTACAATGATATAGATATTTAATTTTAATTCGATTTAATATTAGACTTGTTCTTCTTATTCATTTTTCTAGAATGTTTTCTTGGTAATGCCACTAAGTGAATATTCTCTCTTCAGAAATGACTCAAGTATTTATGACTTGTTTTAAAATTAATTTAATTATAGTATTGCAAAGTATATATTTTATTCACTTACATATAAAACCCAACTTTTTTTTCTGGGATAAAGTTGCTTGTTGAGTTGACTGTATCAAGTTGTTCTCTCCATCAGAAATTATCTGCCCAGGATGTTTTCCCATTTTAGCTTTCCTCCACTGCCACCTTTTGCATTGTATGAGTTTTTACCCATCATGCATCCTGTACACTGCAGGTCCAGCAACATGGGCAATGGCCACTTCCAAACCAGACATCATGGTCATCCTGTTGAGCAAGTTGATGGAGGAGGGAGACATGTTTTACAAGGTAAGATGGAAACTGTATTTTTATATTTAATAATTTAGCTTTTGTATTAAAAAGAAACATTTATCATTCTATGTTTATAGAACAATGAAAATATATATCAGAAATTTTCAGAAATTTTAATTCATAATGTAAGCAGTTCTGGCAATATTTTGAATTGTTAAATAAATTACAATTCCCTAATTCCAAAGCTAAAAAGATATATTCAAAGCCTAAATTTAGAGTAGTATATGCAAGTTTATGTATTTAAGGCATTCATATAGTTAAAACTCATTATCATCATTATTTTAGCCACTGTCTGTCCACTGCAGGATGAAGGCCTCTTCCGCATGTTTCCAACACTAAGTTAAATACTATATTTGCAGATTTGATGACACATACTATTTTCTGTGACCAGTGGGACAAAATACATTCTTTGATAAAATGCACAGGGTCTTTTAATTTTTCATAGTATCTATGACATCTGCCCTGTGATAAATTGGCCAATCTGAGCAAAAGAGAGTCTTTATATTCTCTAATATCAGAAATAGCTCTCTGAGGCTCAGATAGTTTTCTTTATTCTGAAATTTAAGATAGACATATATTTTATTTATGAAAAAAATAAAATAAAATTCAACCCAAGTTCTATACAGTTCAGGCTGAAGTCATGCATAGACATGATACTTCATATCTAACCATAATTAAATAAAGATCAGACTGTGAAATTAAATAAAGATCAGACTGTGAAATTCTCTCTGTTAATTTTAATTTCTCACTTTTCCTTCTTTATAAGCCATAAACAACTATGGCTAAAATTTTCTTGAGTTCTTTTCCTGGGAAAAATTGATGCTATAATCATTCATCGTTTTATAATTTTCAGACTGGATTATTGTACTGTACATTGTGTGGACCTGCTTGTAGAAACCTCAGTTAGCCTGAAACGTCACTGTGAGAATCTTATTTTCACTTGCAAGACAGACCATATTCTATGAATTTGATCTCAGTCTGACTCATTCCTAGTTTGTTTCTATGATCAAGTTTCTGATTTTGTCCTTTAAATCCTGTTAGACTGGAGTGTCTCAATAATTACATCCTCCCAATTGCCTAAGAATGTTGCTCCATTTCTGCAGATTTTATTGCTGCCATCTTCTGATTTCTCCTTTTGACAAGATGCTTCCTGGTGAGGATTAAAGAAGAGACACTTTTCAATTGTGGCTTCCATATTAGAGAACACTCTCCCTTATGGGATAAATTGGCTTCTAAATTACACCGAATATATTTTCAGTATAGAATTCTTAATCAATTTACTTCCATTCCCCCTTTTTAAAAAAATGGTGTTCATTAGATGTTTTATTATGTTATTTAAACCTGTAATTTAGTAAATAGTCTTTATAATTAAATAAACCAGATTCCCATCGTAATCATTATTTGAAGCTAGTTGACAAACATTACTTATAAGGTCCCGAAAAAAAGTCGGCCTTGCGCCGCCTTGGCGCAAGGCCGTGGAAAAAGGCCCGGCCGGCGTGGCCTTTATCGGGGAGGGTGTGGCCTTTATCGGGGAGGGTTTAAAATGAACGTAAGGACAAGAGATTTCCCCGCCAGGATCCCAAACTACTCCCGCACCAGTCCAAACTCAAGGCGGTGGAAAAGAGGCTCTTAAAAAGCCCTGCTTATAAGAAAATCTGATTATCACTGATTTTTTATTGCCAGGGCAGGGTAAATCTTTAATCATATTTATAGTCCTTAGGAGAAAAACAGAAACCATCATTTACATTAAGAAGAGTCAAACTGAAGTGGGATGAATGAATTTAGGCTGTTTGCTGTCCTATTGTAATAACAGTTGTGAAAATTTGAATCATTCTATAATTATTTCTGTTTTTAGGCCATTTCTCCATTAGTGCCAATCAGTGTCCTCTAAAATCATTCAGCTATTTTGAAACAATATAAAACCTATTGTCATATTTTATTTCAGGATCTCTAATTCTTTTTAAAACTGCTTTTACTATGAATTATTTTTTAATTACTATTTTCCCCCCAAAGCTTTCTGCTTTTCTCCATGTTCTTTGGAGAAAAAAGAACTCTAGTAGCATACTGTTTTAAGGTTTTTGCAGTTGCCTAAAGTATAAGAGTTTTACCCAACAGGATTAAATAGCCCATAGTTTATTTGGCCATTTGGAAGCTGTGGGTAAAATCCTTCACTTCAGGTGACTGCAAAAATGATTAAAAAATACACTGAACCTCAGTAAAACAAACAAGAGTACAAGGAAAATAAAAATCTCATAGAAAGTGTACAACTTTTATATTACAACATATTATTTCTTATTTGTTAAAAATGTAGGGTTTTCATAAAAAATATTGTATTTATGTTAATTTCTAATGGATTTAATATTGTTATTTTTACATGATTGAATAAAACATTTTATTGAATGCATCAATTTTAATTTTTAATATGGTGAATATTGATAAATATAATTCATACAAATGAAAGCTCTTTTGGGCTTCTCTGTAATTTTTAAAATTGGAAGAGAGTCCAGAAAACACAGTTTAAGAAGATGCTATCAAGCCTGTTCTAGAATGCTATAAAGAAAACATCTAGATCAGATATGTGAAACTCGCGATGTCACATGACCTCGCGTGACATATCGGAGCTTTTTCCCAATTGCCAGCAATGGAGTGGGCACTGATTTGTTGTGACGCGTCTGGCCCGTGGGCCGGCAGTTTAACACCCCTGATCTAGATAAAGCTTTTAGATTGCCTACCACAATCATCAGGGAAGAGTTTAGCAAAATCTTACTCTCTATCTTTATTCATAATGCTTTTGTCTTAAATCCTTGTGACTTGCTTACTTACGGTAGCTTCTTCTGTATTTCCCATTGTTCTACTATAGCATTTCCCTAACCATTTTCATGTTTAAAAAAATAATTTCTCATTATTGAAATTTTCCCCAAAACTCATAAGGAATTCAACTTACCTTCTTTCTGTCCTAGTATTTCTCATTAGCATGACTGATGTTTCATTTTCTTAGGAGAACCAACCTATCCTACTTACTTAGTCATGTTAGCTAACTCACGGTTCAGTAATGTACTACAAGTAATTCAAAGAGATTTGCTTCACCACCACAGGTTGTCCTCAACTTAGGACTGGAACTTGTGTTGCTAAGTGATCCAGTCATTAAGTAAACTATCACATGATCACACCTGATTTTATGACCTTTTTTCCCCATGATCATTAAGTTAATCACGTGGTCATTAAGCAAAATACAGGTTTCCCCCATTGAGTTTGCTTGCCAGAAATTGGTTAGGAAGGTCGTGAATCATATGTCCCTGGGTTGCTGCAATTGTAACTACATGCTGGCTGAATCTCAATCTTGTAGCTGCGGAGATACTGCAGTGGTCTTAAGTGCAAGGACAAATCGTAAGTCACTTTTTTCAGCACCATCATAACTTTAAACAGTTGCTAAACAAAGTTATAATACCTGTAGTCATATATTAGTCCAGTGGTGGGATTCAAATATGTGAACAACTGGTTCTCTATGTGGATGCCACTCCCAGAAGCCCATTCTGGGCCTGGGCAACAAAAAATTAGCTACCAGTTCTGCCAAACTGGTGCGAACTGGCTGAATCCCACTACTGCATTAGTCCTTTTATTATAAACCTGGCCCCCTTTTCTCTATTTAAAACCTTCCTTTGGAATTGAACTTTCATTAAGTTTCATTAAGAAAATGACTCGGTAAAGAACTTGGGTAAGGAATCTTGCCATTTCTGAACTACAGGGAAATCATAGTCCAGTATGAAGATGTAGCACGTCAAACAAAAAATATTCTTCATGGTAAGTGTCCGATATTACATTTTCTTCACAGAAATAATAGTAGTTGCTTTTTCTCTGCTAATCCATTTGTCTACTAATTAATTCACCTTTTTTGTGAAAAACAAATGAAAATTTCATAATCAAAAACTGTATAACAAGACAACATCCATTGTACCTTAAACCATGGGCCAGAAGAGATTATTAAGCAAACTTTACATGTCTGTTAGGCATATGATTTTGGTTAGAGTGAAGTATATGTTAAATAATGAAAATTATTGGGAGTTACTGCTTATTTTTCCTTACTTTCCTTACTTCCTTACCTAGTATTTTCTTAATATGTACACTGTTTAATCATTCCACAAAAAGTATCTCTTAGCAAATTGATCCTCCAATAACAGCAAGAAATATAAAGTTATGCAGAAAAAGAATCTGAATTATTTGTAAGAAGAGAGCTTCTATTAATGGTCAACAAGTTGATAAAATTATTCTCTAAGAAGAATAACTGAAATTCCTTGCTTATTTCTAGACCCTTTTACAGGCACATTCAGTTTCTTGATCTATAACTCTTACAACCGTCAGATAAAAAACTGAATAGTACATTTACTGTTTGACATTTTATTAGAAAGGGAAAGTGAAAGAAGCTGCCCAACGATATCAGTATGCTTTGAAGAAATTCCCCCGAGAAGGGTTTGGAGAGGACCTAAAAACGTTTCGGGAACTGAAGGTGTCACTCCTTCTCAACTTATCACGCTGTCGGAGGAAAATGAATGTAAGTGCCCTCCTTCTTACAGCTTATTCCTGAATGTGATCCTTTCCCAGCTTCCTTTCCTGTTGCTAATCACTTCCTAACCAGACTCTTACCTATATTCCTAGAATGGCCTTAAAACCTCCACCTTTTTGTAATTTGGTTGTCCTTCACAGAGCACTGGGGTTTTCTAATTCTGAAACAACCAAGCAATAGTTTAAGATTTATTTCAAGCAATTAAAAATTCATCAGTTTATGAAAATGGCTTCCTTTCATTTTCTAAAAAATATTTAGTGTATATGGAAATTGAAGGATGCTGGTGGATATAAAATATTGTCTTTTCCTTCTAAAGTCTTGCTTTCTCTTAAAACAGTGACTCAATCTCAAGATGCATAGGTTACACTCTCCTTGCATATGAGTCTTTATGCTGTTCAAAAGCCATTCATGTTTAAAACAACATAAAATGTGTGTTTGTGAGTATATAGTGGAATATGACTGTGAGAGAGAAAAAGGAGAACTTTTTAGGATAGAAATTAAATGACAATGACTTAGAGATTGAGATATATATAACAGGTTAGATTTTAAACAAACTTAAAAACAACAACAAATTTTACAGTTGCAACCTTGCACACTTGGTTGGCTGTGGTAGAACAGACACTGGATTATATGGGCCAGGGGGCCAATCCACCAAAGCACTCTTAATAATACAGAGTTTACTCATATCATCAAAATGATGGCATTAATTCTAGCTAAGTTGAGGAACTTTTTTAATGGTAGTGCAACAAAAAGTTCAGATATATCTATGTTTATCCTTACTCTTGGGATTTTAATTCTGAGAAATGTCACTTAAAAGGTTTAAAATCATATTGTTTGAATGGTAGGGTTATACAACATAAGCTTGCCCACTCTGCCTATTTTGCCATGCTTCCCCTTCTATATTCTACTGGCCACACAAGTATAGAACAACTACCTAGAGAACTTTAATGTATCTAGTTAGGATCCTTCACATAATCATAAATTGTTATTAGGAATTGCTGCTAATGTCCAGATTATATAATATATCCCTAGGTTCCTCTTACCTAATTCCTTCAACACATGAGTGAGTTCAAGTGAGCCAACCCTAAGAATATGGAGAAAACAAAATAGGTTATAATATATATATTGTTCCACAACTTGTTCATGTCAGTGGTCAGTATGAAGTTATTTCAAGTTATTAGTATTGAAGCACTAAGAAAGTTGCAAATAAAAAAAAATAACTGAAGTAGATTTTATTATTTCTAGGGCAGAAAAAATGATAATACATGGACTGGACATATGTCCAAAGAACAGGTTTAACATTTACAGTCCCAAGTTAGGAACAGATAACTTAACAACTAAAAAAGTTGGATCTCTTGATACCAGCTGTCTAATATTTTGTTAATGTTAGAAAGTACTCAGTCCACTTACAACAATCTATCAATTTTATTTTATTTTTCCCAAATTCTCTCTGTGTGTTTTTTCAATGACTTATCTACGCACCTATTGTAATGGCAGGATTTTGGAATGGCGGAGGAATTTGCTACTAAAGCACTGGAGCTGAAACCGAAATCTTATGAAGCTTACTATGCAAGAGCAAGGGCCAAACGCAGCAGCAGGTGAGAGGAGAGCCAGAGAGAAATGAAGGTTTGGGTGTGATACACTCCTAAAAATGTCCTGATCCACACAAGGAACAAATAGCAAGAATATACCTGAGGAAGAATATAATTATATCTGAAAATAACAGATTCAGATGTTGTTATAGTCTATCATCAAGCTGAGCACCTTCCATAGTTTCAGCTATAGCAGCTTTTTTAAATTTTGCCATAGTGTCCTTATAGAACATTCTGCTAGTATTATCTTTATTCATACCATAATAACATGCATCAGCATGGAGGATTAGTTTGTGGATTAATCGGTAACTTGTTCTAAGTATAAGGCTACCTGTTATGTAAGAAAGTTGAAAGCAGTTGGATCAAGATATATACATATACATAGTATTGTGCAAAAGTTTTAGGCAGTTGTGCAAAAATGCTGTAAATTAAGAATGCTTTCAGAAATAGAAGTGTTAATAGTTTATTTTTTATCAATTAACAAAATCCAAATGAAATCAATATTTGGGGTGCCCCCCCTTTGCCTTCAAAACAGCATCAGTTCTTCTAGGTACACTTGCATACATTTTCTGAAGGAACTCAGCAAGGTTTCTTCAAGGTTGTTCCAAACATCTTGGAGAACTAACCACATATCTTCTGAGGATGTAGGCTGCCTCAGATCCTTCTGTCTCTTCATGTAATCCCAAATAGACTTGATAATGTTAGGATCAGGGCTCTGTGGGAGAGTCACTTCCCGGACTCCTTGTTCTTCTTTATGATGAAGTTATTTCTGAATGGCATTGGCTATATATTTGGGATCATTATCCTCCTGCAGAATAAATTTGGGACCAATCACACACCTGATATGTCATGATTGATAAGTATTTGTCTGTATATCTCAGCACTGAGGACACCATTGATGCTGACCAAATCTTCAACTCCATTTGCAGAAATGCAGCCTCAAACTTGCAAAGAATCTCCATCATGCTTCACTCTTGTCTATAGACACTCATTGTATGCCTTCCAGCCCTTCGACAAATAAACTGCTTCCTGCTACAGCCAAATATTTCACATTTTAATTCATCTAAATGTAGAAGTAGATGAGTATACCTGGGTCTCACTGGTTTCCACTAATTCTGTGCTGATGGCACTGCTGGACATCTTCCGATGTCAAAGGGAAGTGAGCATGATGTGTCTGTCATCTGCTGCATTAAGTTTCCTTGGCCATCCACTATGTCTATGGTGTTCCTATATCATTAACCCCTGTTTGGTATAATTGGTTAATCATATACCTGACTCTAGTCCTACAAAATCCTTGACTTTGTGCAAGTGTAAGAATTGATGCTGGTTTGAAAGCAAAGGGTGGTCACCCCAAATATTGATTTGACTTGGTTTCTCTTCTGTTCATTTACTTTCCATTTTGTTAATTGATAAAAAGAAAGTATTAACCCTTCTATTTCTGAAAGCATTCTTAATTTACAGCATTTTTACACACACACACACACACACACACACACACACACACACACACACACACACACACACA